TGTAATAGAAGAAGAAATTACTAAATACTTGGGTAGTAAAGAAATTAATGATATTTAATGTACTTGGAAGTCAAACATCCATTTTAGTTTTTGTCTCTGACCTAACTAGCTTACATTTGGGAACGTGGCACCCTGCATACGGCACGAAGGCCAAAGGCAATTCCTAGCCTGAAAAAGGCTGCACATTCCTGATGTGCACCCTGTGTGAAGAATAAGTGTTTCTTCATGCAAAGGATAGTTAATTTATCAGAATAGCCACCAGCTTACACCTTTTCAAAAAGGACTAGATTTTATAAAAGATATCTATTTTCTCTCCAAGTAAATTGTGCTGAAGTTGCATTGAAAAATGATCAAAGGGCACCCCCTAGTGGAAATGCAGGGCATTAAGGGAATCTCTGAAAGTTGAGCCAACATTTATTTTAAAACACAAATACACTTTTTTTTTTTTCAAGATCTTGTGTGTCAAAAGATATCAGGGAAAAGGAAGAAAGACTGAAGTGGGAAAAATCTGAAAGCCACACATCATTTCCCTACTCAAAGCAAAACCATTTTTCTTCAAAACAGAGTTTGTCCCCCAGACCAGTGTTTTTCAAACTTGGCAACTTTAAGATGCCTGGACTTCAATTCCCAGAATTCCTATGCTGGCTGGGAATTCTGGGAGTTGAAGTCCAGGCATCTTAAAGTTGCCAAGTTTGAAAAACACTGGACTTGATCTTAAAGGAGTTCCTCCTCTTGATACATCACAGCCAACTCATTCTGCAGTTAGAGTCCTTCACCAGCCAAAAGGACTCCATAAATGCATTAGAAGGAAGTACTGGTAAATTTGAGGGAATCTACATTCTAGAAATATAAAATGCTTTTAGAAATAAAGAGAACTATCCTAAGGGTGGGGGGGGAGGAATGAAGAGACAAACGAGAACATGTGATGAGGACTGAACAACGACAATTGAGAAGAAGAAGAAGAAATGGAAAACTCAGAGATGAAATGGAGCGATGGAGCATCCTGGAGAAAGACATGGCCTCTTGGCTGGGATCCTGGACAGGGAGACCAGCCTGTAATACTTTGCTAAGGTCCATGATCCCAAACGTCCATAGCAGCCATCTTTGACAAGCCACCATCTGTCTCATTGGAAAGCGAAGCACCATCAGAACCATGCCACCATTTCACCTGTCAAGTTCAATACATACAGAAAGCCACAGCAGCGGGCCCTCTAATTGTACCTTCACCACAGCAGGACCTGGTGCCAGCTGTTACCTTGACAAAGAGCCTGCTGCTTGAAGAATTGTGACTGGAGGCCACAGGTGTGCAATACACAGACATCGATTTGCGGTCACGGGAGAATTCAAGGGTGCATTCCTTTTTCATCAGCTTTTTGATCACCTGCAGGGAAAAAATGAAGGTAGGGGACCATCAGAATCCAGCCAGAGAAATTTTCCGTGAATATAGATTAATATTTCTGTTCAGCAATTTTTACATTTACAGGTGTAAATAAGCATTCTAGCAGCATAGATCACAAAGCATGCAGAGTAGAGTCCGGAATGCAAAATATACTATTTATGCCATTCAGGTTCTTTTCAGGGTATTATACAGTTGCAAAAAAAAGTATGTGAATCTTTTGGAATTTCATGGTGTTCTGCATTAACTTGTCATAAAATGTGATCAGACCATCATCTAAGTCAAGAGTATTGACAAATACAGTGGGGCAAAAAAGTATTTAGTCAGCCACCAATTGTGCAAGTTCTCCCACTTA